GAAGTCCTCTGAAGAGAAGCAGAGTTTTCAGATTGAAAAATTTTGATTTTCATGGATTCTATGCCATTTCTACGAAAAGTATTTTTTCCCCATACAAAATACATGGGAAACTTTGAGCGCTTTGAGCGACCTGTAAATATATTTTGATTTCAAAATAAAAAAACAGGGGTATACTTTTTTCGGTATAGAACAATCCTAGGGGGTGAGAGCATTAAATTTCCGATTTTACTTTTCTCCCATACATTTTTGGACCATACTAGTGTGCATACAATGTTCCCTTATAAACAGTTCGTTGGAATCAAACGCAATTAACCATCTTTTGACCGCTAGTAGATGCATATGTATACAAATAATCTGTGCATGCCATTTTGCGTAGGTATGTAAAAATAAAAAAAATAAAACGCAATTAATTGCTTTTCTTACAAATGTCGGCTGTGGCGTCACGTGAAGACTACTGGTTCTGGTTCTGAAATCGCAGGTTCGAGGCCGCTTGGAGGTGGTTAAGAATTTTAAAGTTAAATAAATGTAAGTAAAAATAATTTATTCAATTTATATAAATAAATAACAAATTTGAAAATCTAATTGCATTGCAAAAAAACATTTAGGAAGAAATGCTATTGCTATAAAAACAAAGAAATTTAACAAAAATATTTTTTTTATTAAATTTAAAAATAACAATAAACAGCATAAACAAAAAAATAAATTTATAAAAAAATAAAAATAAAATAAAAAAATAGAAAATAAAAAAATTTTCCCTGCGCCACGATTTGAACCTGGGGCCTCAGGCTTACCACGCGAGTGCTTTGCTCTGTCGGCCATTGTGACTGCTGGAGCGTCGCGAGCAAAAATGCACACTTATGCTTTTCACGGGGTGTGAATTGGCAGACTATCTTATCAACTGGTATGATCCTTCTAGTATTTATACTAGTAGATGCTGATGCATAGCCTGACAATTGACATCTCGTAGGACATCGCAATGTTAAAAATACCAGTCGCTAACATTGAAAAAGGATAGAACGTGAACTAGTTCGGCTGAAACGCAAACCGGTAGAATTCTAGTTTACAACTAGTAGCTTTCCCTGCAGGGTAGTTACAGTAACATTTACATATTAGGGTTATCCATACGGATGTTTTAACACAGAGGTAAAAGAACTCAAAACATCGCAGAATACAGAAAAATTTCACATGTGGCTTGTCGCTGGCGTCTTTTGTAAACTCTTTAGATTTCAAAAACGCCAATAGTGCGACTCATGAAATGTCGCAAAGTGGCAACATTGCGAACAAAACTGTATGAATGAGCTATCGCAACCCCAGATTGCAAATTTTTTGAAAATGCCCCGCATAAGTGAAAAAGAAAAGTTTTTACAATTATATTATTCTTAAGTAGGCTTAACTGACATACTTTTTTTAAGTATTGGAAGACAATAAAAAACGTGTGTTTCGCGAATTTGACTTGGCATTGATTCTAGCTCAAATAATATGGCAGTCGCAATTTTGTCGTAAGAAAGATTTCATACAAAAGTAATCAGCTGTGTCGCAAGGTGGCAACTTTTTCAACGAATGCGACATTTGCACAACTTTGCGACGTTTCATGAATCCCACTAACAAGTACATATGTAGGTTTTTATTATTTACAAACGCATATTAATAAAAAATAAGAAAAGGCATCCAGTAAAATAAAAAAATACATATACATGTGGACGAAAGTGCGCATTTGTCTGACCAGACTTCCACTAGGGATCAAAATTGAGTGAATGGGGATTTTTTAAATATTCGCAATGTTTTTTAAGTTAAATTTTTTGTTGTTATTTGTTATAAATTCAAGTTTCGAACTTTATAAAAAATATATTTGGGGTATTCACAATGGTGTCGTAAGTGTCGTATTGTTGTATGTCATAAACTTTAAACGCCTAAAAAATACATTAAGAGGGTTCGCAAAGTACCATCAAAGACATATTATGAGATTTGTTAAAAAAATAGTTGGTTGTCCATTCAAGTTCTCTAAACATTTATTTAAGCTTTTAAAGTTTACGACATAAAACAATACGACACTTACGACACCGTTGTGAATCCCTCAATTGTGCTTTCGTTTCTACCAATAAGTCGCAATCCCTTTCACTTTTCGTGTTCGATTGTAAAATAAAGGCAAATCGGGGAGAAAATTTTGTGTTCGTTTCTTAAAATGTCAACCCTCCAGTAAGGCAAAAAAAGGCACATTCTTTGCCTTTTGAAGCTTTACCAGGGGAGAAGGTTGCTCTGAAAATCAGACGGTTGCTTAAAACGACAATATAATGAAATAGATACAAGAACAAGTCATTTTTAGCAAAAAAAAACCGACTTAAAAAATATATATATATGTATCTCTATATATTTCATGATCCAATGATCGGATCTAAACTAGATTAGTATCCTCCACCTCTGAGACACTACCTTTCCGATGCAAAAAGAGTTATCGAAATCGGTTGACGTATTCCAAAGTTATGCGGTAACATACATAAAAAAAAAAAATATTCTTACGAACTGATAACCTCATCTTTTTTTGGAAGTCGGTTAAAAAGTAGGCAAAAGCATGAATTTTTATAAGGTTGAGTTTAACAGCAAATATATTTTGCACCTCCCTGGCAACATTTTTTCGGAATAAACGAAAACACCATAAAAAATATTTGCATCAAAATTTGGAATATTTTAATCGTGGATATGCAGATACATATGTATGTATGTATGTATATAACTCATGAAACTTTTGTAAAATAAGTGCGTCAGAAAAAAATAATTAAAAATCAACGCGATTTTTAGCCTCATAAAACATGCACTTAAAATTTCATGAGCTATGTAACTGGACACCCAAAAATTTGCTTACAATAAAGATAAGAAATTCAAAATTATGACGAAAATTTGTTGAGTTTTTCTAAATTTTGTATGACGTTTGAAACTGAATTTGTATTTTGGTTAAAGCATGAACAATATTTAAAAAAAAAAATGTTTACTACGAAAAACATTGTGAATATTAAAAAGAACCACCTGAATGGTCACTTTTGATCGCCAAAGTTTATTTCGGTTTAAAGTCGTTATGATGATGGTACGCGAAGCACCAAACCAAGCTATGCCTTCGCGAAAACGGTGAATAAGGGATAGTCAACCTCCCAAAGCTAAAACGTTAGTGTGTAGTGTAGCCAATTTTGACTCCAACAATAACGTTAAAATTTAATTTCCATTCAAAAGGGACTGATCCAAGAAGTACTGCGGCGAACTTGGCATCGCACTGTATCTACGTTTGGGAATGGATACAAGCATTTCAAATACGAAAATTCTAGGTAAGTTTGAAGCCTATATAACCTAAGGTAAAAACTTCGGGACAAAAATAAAACATCATATCCTTAGCCAGGCAGAGTTTCATTAGCAATAGCATCTTCGATAACAAAATAGAAGCAAAATGGAATGGAGTGTCTCAGTGAATGTTGGGTTTCCGGACATAGGAACATCGAAGTCATTGAGAGAGCTGACGAATCGGTAAAAGCTGCCGCCTGGTTGGGGGAACCTGAAGCATTGGAAGTGGCATGTCCTCCTCAAATAATCCAATTAATCTGCTTTTCCTAGACTGGGTCAAAACCAGTTTTCATATAGAAAAACTTGCATGGTATCAACGAAAGACAGATATACCCGGAATAGTAGCAAGCATAACGCGTCTCTAGATAAACATACAGCAACAATAGAACTTGCTCTCAACTAAGGCAAGAGAGTATCCTCATTAGCTGTGTGAATACTAGATATATAACACAACATAGAGAACTATACTATTCGGGAACTGGGAAAAATTATTAGGTAATCCCTGGTTAGACTGGCTCTTAAAAGTACGAAATGTATCCTCGGTAGCTATGAAGCACTACAACCAACTATATATGAATGGTTAAAGACAAGGAGCCAATAAGACCTTCTACTAATACTACTAACGATCTGCCCATTGGTCTTGGGTGCTTTGGCGGAAATAAATTATTGAATTCGCTTTAGCATCATAAAACGGCCTCCGAGGTCGACTGAAGCTTATATTGCGACAGAGTGTTTTTGGTGGGGACAATCGACTCGCCCTTACGCGACATCTCAAATCGTCTAATTCAAACGGCGACATACCTTAAACATTCACCGCAGTGAAAAACGCAGTTCAAACTCTCATGCCCATTCTATTTTCAGAGTCAGTAAATGTCTAATACGATTTTCGCCGAGAATCAGGTGTCTGATCACCTGCGGGGGTAACAAGGCTAGCTTGACGACGTGCACCAGGGTCAAGGATTTCAACAGGGCACAACTTTCTCAAGTCACCACCCAAGAAGGTCGTCTTTGTGCAAAAACAGGAGGATATCCGGTGGATGAAGTCCGAATTTTGACATTCGTCTATCTGTGGAGGAACCTCCTGTAAATGCACCTCAGAATGCCAAGACGTGTGGAACCTGGACTCGATACTTCGTTAACATAGCAAAAAATCGGAAGGCATAAACGTTAGACTCGTAGATCCAAATAACAAAGACTTCCCAGAAACCATTAATAGTGTCTCCCATCCGAATTGTCATTAATAGCGCTACAGGCCCCCATCATGCACAGACGTTGGCTGATTCCAGGAAAAAACATATGACTTTCACAAAATGGCGTGAATACTTATTACACGATAATTGGTCGACTCGACTCCTTCGCGCATGTATGTATATATATGTATTGATGTTTATGTGTATGTAGTGCAAAAATGCGCGAATATGGGTTAATGTATGCGAAATTTTGACAAATTATTGGAATACAGTTAGACGCAAGTACATATATAAATGTTAACAGCTGAAAATTGTTATATAGTTTAATTGTGAGCGATTTTTGTTTGCCCAATCTTAACCATACTGCAATAAGTGATGAACATTGTTAATTTACGATGTTGGTATACATATGTTTTGGCTTTTAAGCTTTTAGCTGTAACTCTTTTTGTTATTTTTTAAAATACACACTTTTAACTTGATTACCTTCGGGCTCTTTTGAAATGACAGTAGTGCTGCGATCAACAATTCCCTTTTTATCCTCTACAAAAGAAAAAATAAATAAAAAATGGAAAAGAAAAACAAATAGTAGTAGTTTTTTCAAGTTGAGCTTACAGCTGGTTAATAAGATTTATTGTTTGCTTTCATTTCCGTTGCATTATAATTTTGATTTTCCTACTCTAACAGCCGGTTTCATTAGCAACTTAAATGGAACATGATTTTTTGTTTTCTGTCAATTTCCATATACAATTCAAAAATTTAAAATCATGTTTAATTTAAATTGCTTTGGTGAAAATGGCTGTTAATATTTTAATCGCAAATAATACTATGAAAAGAAATACAGTTCTTAATTTAAAATATTTTCTTAGGGCTATTATACTATTTGTTTTGGGAAAAAGTGGCGAAAGTAATAATATAAAATATTTGTAAACGAAAGAAGTTTATACTCAGTTATGCATACTTAGCTTGACTCGACATGAGAAGTGTCACATAATGATTCTTTTCACACATAATCAAACACAACTTTACCTGAAAGTCTGTTGAATTTTGATTTCTACGTTAAAGAGACATTTGATTGGCTAGGGAGAGCGAGAAATAAGAGCAAAAAGTTGTCTATTTTTATTTAGTGAACTATAATTACGACTGAATCAAAACTAAATGCAATGCTAAGTTTGCATAACTAAGACTTATAAAAAAATTGTGGAGATAATGTCTGACGTATTTTTTTAATAAACACTTGCTTACTATATAGCCTTTTTACATTCCAAACTACATTTTTTTTTATTGCACATCCCTCATACCTCTCTTATAATGGGTACTGAAATGGCACTCCACTTTTGCCATCATGCAAACCAAAGAGCGTTTCTTAGATAAAACAATAATACAGGTCAACAATTTCAGAAAAAGTTGTTGGTGGCGTGATATCATTAGTGGTGTGTGGCCATTGTCAACACTAAAAATAGTTCTTATTTTTATCCTAAGTGTAGTGCTCGAGATATTGCCACATAACGATTTTTGCTAAAACAAAAAAGATCGATCATAAAAATATCTAAAGAATCCGTATACCTATCAAAAAATATGTTTTTTAAGTGGGAAAATTTTCTAAAAACTAAAAATACAAGATCCACACAAAAAGTAAAAGTGAGAATAAAAAAACTCATTTTTCAAAACTGCATTTATTACGTGCTTGCTCACATAAAAACGTTCTTTTTCACGACTTTCGTCAAGTAGTCAGCTATCATATGATCATGCTCATCTATAGCTTTAAGGTCCTGGTTAAACCACTCCCTTTCTTCTTCGCTATATGATCCAAGATTCTCTGCACTTTGATGGACATACTGTAATTTCTAGAAAATTTTTAGTAACTTTAACAAAAGAAGTCCACGCAAGACGTTCTAAATCGTTCATTGAATTCAATCAGCATTGCCCACTTTTGTCTAGCACCTTAAAATATTGTTTCAAAGGCACAGCTTTACATACATATGTGCCAATCGCTTCTTTCCAATGTTGATGATTTGCGCGACTGCCCCACAGACAATAATAGAAGGTAGTTGGTGTATCCACTTTTCTTTCCTAATAGGAAATTAACACAAATTTAGGGCTTATATTCAATACCCTCTATATCCAGTTTTCACAAAAACTACTTTGTGATGTTAGAATCCATCTGTGACTCACCTGTCATCACGGATGGTTATGACTGTGCAATTTAATAGCAAATTCTTCTGCCATGCGTTATACAAGGTCAGCATTAATATCACCGATGGCAATTAAATCTTAGGTGGATTTTTATATTAGAATATTGAATGAGCAAAGGGAACTAGAGATGAGCGCGTGAGTGATTTTAGCTCACGTTCGCGCACGCTCACGTTGATGGTTTTGTAAATCACGCACACTCACGATCTGTTATATTTTTTTTTCAATCACGTTCATGCACGCTCACGATGCCTATTTTTCATCACGCACGCTTACTCACGAACATTTTTTTCAAATCGAATCTTTATTTATATAAATAGACTAGGGCTGTGCGATTAATTGATTACTCAAAATTTTAATTAATCATAAAGTTAATAACTCAATTATTCGATTAATTGGAAATTATGATTACTCAAAAGTTCAGTTATTCGAGTAAGCAAGATTTTTTATTAACCAAAAAAAAATATTTAAGTAAGTTGCTTTATGATTAATCAACATTTCGAGTAAAATGAGTAATCAACATTTCAACTCTTTACAGATGTATAAAGGAGTTAAAGTTCCTTGTTACTTTGAAAACAACGTTTCTGTTTTCAAAAATTAAAACGAAAAATTTTTTTCATATACAGAATGTAAAAAAGAAAATAAGCATTTTCCAAAGCAAACTCTTTTAACGAGCAAAATTATTTTTTTTAAGCAATCATATTTCAAGTAACTGGATTAATCATCGTTTTGAGTAATCAAAATCTTGATTACTCGAGTAATTGATTAACCGAATAATTGATTAACCAACTTGCTCGAGTAATCGAATAATCACACAGCCCTAAAATAGACTTTTATCACACAAGAATTGTTACAAAAGCTTAGTAAACGCCTAGCAACGGATGAACGCACTATTAATTTTTCTAATGTTTTTTAGTTTTAATTATTTGTTTATAAAAATATAGTAAATACTTTAACAAAAACCACATAAATCCAAGTTTCATTCTTTGTGCAACATTGAAAAAAAATCAATCAACTTTCGTAGCTTTTTAGAAGTAGCCCATTCAATTTAAATATAATAAAGTGCAAGTTGAAAGTAGCTACGATTTACCGTTGATTTTTGGGATTTTTTTGTTTAAGGTGTTTCTCATTTTATCCATATAAAAAAATCGTCGAACATACTTTGTATGGAAGAACATGACTGACATCGTCAACAAAAAAAAATATCCCACTAACCAACGATAATTCGGAGCTACTTTAAACTTGCACTTTATTATATATACTTAAATTGAGTGGGCTACAAACCTGCATATTCACAATATTTCCAAAAAATATAATTAAAAAGCTCGAAATTTTTATAGTCGGGGTATTCACCAAGCAGTCGTGTACGTCGTACTTCTAGAATTCTGCCTGACGCAGAAAAAACTCTTTCACTAGTTGCTGAGCTAGCTGGTATGTTAAAAGGCTTCTAAGAGGTGGCAAATGTTAAGCTTTCTCCCAAAATTTTTAAGCATGTTCGCTATTTTGGTTTCCTGTATTTATTAAATAAATCTGTATTTGCGCATTAATCAGGGCTATCACAGAATCCATCGAAGCTTCGATTTTCGTGAAATCTACGAAAGTGCTATCCACGGTCGTCACTTGTTATAAAAATAACCAACCAAAATCCGAAGAAAAAACAACCAAATCAAAAAAGAACAAAATTTGTTATCCACTTATTTATTACAAAGAACAAAAATTCAATAATTGTATTGAGCTTTTTTTTATGAAAATTTTGTGGAAAAACAACATTAATTTACATTTTGGTAGAAGTTATAGCTGCTATTTCGGAAATCAAAAATTATTGAAATACGTGTGCGTTCAATCACATATGTACTTTTTATATACGCATATAAAACATGTTACTTAAAAAATGCTAATTTGAAAATTTTATTTATTCATTTTGGCATTCAGCATGCAGCAAATCTTATTGTAAAGAAAAAATTTGGTAATTTCTTATTAAAAAAAAACAGCCAAACCAGAGAAAAAACTACCAAATTAGAAAAATTAAAGAAAAACAACCAAGTTTCGTTGGAAGCAACCAACAGTGGCAACCGTGGTGCTATCACAACATCCTAATGGCTACGAACGTAAATTCGAAATTCGTAGAGAGCCTTCATTGAATCCGTTCGTAATGAATATTCTACAAGTTTATCCTGTCGGAACAAAAATTAAAATCACTGAATCTTAAAAATAATGGAAAAAGCTGCATTATTGTTAACAACAAATATTTATTATACTCCAAATATGATATAGTATGTACAGCGTGGCGACGAATAACTGTTACCCATGTTTTTTTGAGAAATAAAAGAGTCCTTTATAGATTTTGCGAAAAAAGTATTTTATTGTTAATTTTCTACAGATTTTATTTTAGTTGTATTAATTAGTTTTTAAATTTTAATCCTTATTTACATTTGCCAGCAGTGTAAACTTTCAGAGAAAAGTTCATTTGGCACGCAGGTAATAGTCAGTTAATTTATTCCATATCTTCTGTAACCATAGGCTAATTTTCTCCATTTTTGAGTCCCTTGTACTCCCCCTTCTGTCCAACATAAGGTCTCATACTCAAAAATCGAAAAGACTCGGAACTGGAGACTAGGACGGCCATTCATTCGACCAACCTTATACACTTTTTTTCTTTTTTTTTTACTTTTTTTATACAAAGCCTAAGAAAAAATACACCTGAAAAAGACTTGCGTGCCAAATGAACTTTCCTCTCAAAGTTTACACTGCTGGAAAATGTAGATAAGGATTAAAATTTAAAAACTAACTAATACAACTAAAGTAAAATCTGTGGAAAATTAACAATAAAATACTTTTTTCGCAAAATCTATAAAGGACCCTTTTGTTTCTCAAAAAAAAAACGGGGTAACAGTTATTCGTCGCCACGCTGTACATATATACATTCATCTGCTAGACGCTATTTAATGAATGAATATTTTTTATGAAGCTAGGAAATAAGAGTTTAACAATATATTAGGAAGGAAACCTAATTACTTCAATATCATAAAAATTAAAAAAAAAAATTTATTCTCTTTAAAGAATAAAATCTAAACTAAAAAAAATAACAAGTAATTTTTAAGCAAAAACAAAACCGACTTCAATCCTCATATAAAAATTTAAGATTATCGTTAATCTTTTCATGATGAAATTATCGGATTTAAACCAAATTAGAATGGGGTGAGGTAACACCTTTCCTTTAAAAAAATAATTATAGACATCGGTTAACTTGGTCCAAAGTTATGCGCTAACATACATAAAAAAAAAATATTCCGACGAACTGATAACCTTTTCCTTTTTGGGAAGTCGGTTAAAAAAATTTAATTGAAAAA